AGATTTTATTTATTTATTTATTTGAGAGAGAGAGAGCACACAGGGGGAGAGGGAGAGAGAGAAGCAGGCTCCCCACTGAGAAGGAAGCCTGACACAGGGCTCGATCCCAGGACCCTGAGATCACAGCCGAAGGCAGATGCTTAACTAACTGAGCCACCCAGGCGCCCCAGGGAAACCAAATTTTAAATAAGATTTAATGAAAAAAAATTTTTTAAAGATTTTATTTATTTGACAGAGAGAGAGATCATGGAGCAAGGGAGGGGCAGAGGGAGAGGGAGAAGCAAGGGAGCCCGACACAGGACTCGATCCCAGGACCCTGGGATCATGACCTGAGCTGAAGGCAGACACTTCACCAACTGACCCCCAGGTGCCCCTAAAAATTTTTTTTAACGATTTATTTATTTACTTGGGGGGGAAGGGAGGAGCAGATGGAGAGAATCTCAAGCTGACTCCCCACTCAAGTGCGGAGCCTGATGCAGGGCTCCATCTCATGACCAATGATATCATGACCTGAGCCAAAATCAAGAGTCTGATGATGCTTAACCGAGTGAGCCACCCAGGCACACCCCTAGGATATTCTTTTTTTTTTTTTTTAGATTTTATTTATTTGAGAGAGAGCAAGCACGAGTGGTGGGGAGGGCCAGAGGGAGAGGGAGAAGCAGGTTCCCCACTGAGCAGGGAGACCGATGCGAGGCTTGGTCCTAGGGCCCTGAGATCACGACCAGAGCTGAAGGCAGATGCTTAACCTACTGAGCCACCCAGAGCGCCTATTCTTTTTTTTTTTTAAATTGAGATATAATTGACATATAACATTGTGTTGTGTAACCATAAGATGTACAATGTGTATTGATTTGATACATTTATATATTGCAACATGATTACCACAGTAGCTTAGTTAACATCTCTATGAGGTCACATGATTACCATTTCTCTTTTGTGGTAGAATATTCTATTTCTATTGGGATCACATTGTTCTATACAGCAGGTCCAAGGAGGGTTTTTGTTTGTTTTTTCATTTTTGAAACATGAAATATATCAAACACAGAACAAGCATCTATAACGTATATGTCCAGCGTATAGACTAGAGACTTCACAACCAGCAGGCTTATAAAATCGAATGTGATGACCATGTTGAAGCCCCCACCGTCTACCTGTCCTCATGAGTCACCAGACAAAACCACTGTGCTGACTTCTGAGTAATCATGTGTCCGCTTTTCCTTTCAGTTCTGTCACATTTGTAGTACCCCTAAATGATAGATCGGCTGGGTTAGCCAGGTTTGGAATTTCATAAACATGGTAGAATAGTGTTGGTATTCTTCTGCACTTTGCTTTCTTTGCAGGATCTTATGTCTGGGAGGTCATCCTGTGGATGGGCGTCGCCTAGGTGCATTCATCTTCACCGCTGTATGGTATTCCACCATGTAAATGTACATGGAGGTGTGGGTCCATTGACGGATATTTGGGTTGTTTTTGTTTTCTGTTTCCCCATTGCAGCAAGCAGTAAGGGTTCAAAACCCAGAAGAGATCCTCTGTTATGTGATGAGGACTTGAGACAGCCCTTGGACAACAGCTTGTAAGAACCTGACACTCTCAGGCCTATACCCTGCAAGGACTCGAATCCTTCCATCAGGCGAGCTTGAAGTAAATTTTTCTGAAGCCTCAGCCAGAGGACCCAGCTAAGCCCCACCCAGATTCCTGAGTCATGGAAACTGAGATAAGAAATGAGTTGCTTTAAGCCACTTCATTTGGGGCTATTTGTTATACAGCGACAGATAACTAATACACCAATGTCTGATTACATATTTGTTTCCCTCTTTAATATCCGTCTCTGAAACCACTTAAAAGCATAAAGTTGAACAAAAATAAAATGGCTTCACTAAAGCTTCAGCGAAGCTCGATTTTAAAGTAAGCTTTTCCTCTCTTCGGCAAACCTCCCCTCCTCCCTTCCTATCCTTCTCTCTCAGGAACCCGGTACCACCCTAAAGACATGATGAACAAAGCTGACAGCAGAAACACAATTCCTGCCGAAATGGGCTAGATCCTGTATTTCCCTGTAAAACTCCCCAGCACCTTCCTTGGGGAGGGCCTGCAGTTTCTGAAGCCTCCTTTGCTGGGCAAGGCAATAAAGCTATTGTTCCTCTTTATCCCAAACTCTGTCTTGGTGTTATTATTGTGGCTCCGAAGCTCCGAGGTTGATTTTGGACATCTCCACCCACTGGAAGTTCTCATTCCTTTCCGCTTCCTCCAGGCCTAGAACCAGCGCGAGCTGGCCCCTTTCCATGGGAGGCTCTCCCCCCACCCGTTCACGAGGTTGACCCCCTCCTTCTCTTTGAGTCCTTGTTCAAGTGTCAGCTTCTCCAAGTCAAGGCCCAGCCTTTTGCAGAGGGACCCACCCTGTTTAAAAATGCATCCCCCCTGCCGCACCCGCTCCCAAGCCCCTTCGCCTCTTTTCCCACATTTCCTGTCTTCCCACACCCCATGTCATTTGCTTATTTGTGGTGTGTGTCTGTGTCCTGTCTCCCAACTCCCCCCATGCCATCTGCCCCAGAGCAGGGATCTTTGTTGGGGTCACCCTGACGCAGCTCCCGTGCCTGCCTCGGGGGAGAAGTTCAGTCGATATTCGTCCGTGTCTCTAGTACATTCCACCGCCGTCACCAGCAGCTGCCTGTCAGCCTCAGCATCTCCCCTCCCTCCCAGATTCCACTTGCGATTATAGGTTCCAGCCCCCCGGGTTCCCGAATTCTGCTCCCAGCTCTTAGCGCTTAGCCCACAGGCTCTGGAATCAGGGGTCCGGGATCTCCACTCCCCTCCGGGCTCGGGAATACGCCGCGCCCCCCATTCAGCCTCCGGAATCCGGCCCTTCCCCAGGCTCCGGAATCCAGGCCCCACAGATCCAGGCTCCGGAATTCAGGATCCAGGCTCTCGAGCCGGGCCCGGAGCCAGGGGCAGCCGTTGGACTGAGATTTTTGAAAGATCTGGCGCCAAACCCCGCGCGGGATGAGCGCGGCGGCGCGAGGGGCGTGGAAGGAACGGCCGGGACCGGGCTGGCGGGCTGGACGGTCCCGGGAGCGGACCCTCCTACCCCCTACCCGCACTCCCTGCCCCCAAAGCAGACAGCCATCAACTCTCCTGCGCCCCGAGGCCAGCGGGTCCTGCGTTCGAATCCCGCCTGCGCCCCGTCCCCGCTGGGGGGCCTCGTGCCTTAGTTTCCCCTGCCGGCCGCGGGCCCGGAGCGTCCCGCCGCGTGCCTGGCGGGGGCAGCCTGCGCAGGGGG